CTATTGTTGTGACTTAGATGACGTTCAGAGCACATTTTATGCCCAATTCATGCAAAACTCCACGTAATCCCAAGGGGTTCACATACTTTTTCTTGCAACTGTACATGAGCATAATTGCAACTTCATGAATTTTCTATTACTTTACAGAACTTAGAGAACTGTTCCACATTCTCTAATAAGAAGCCTGGTTCTGTTTCTCTGAAGGCTGTTTTCTCTAAGAGTTCCTACAAACATGTGATCAGAGCAGGGGCGGACTGACAACTCATGGGGCCCCCGGGCAATAGGGGATCATGGGGCCCCTGTGTCCTCACCCAAACTCAAAAAAGCCTATGAAAAAGGTACCAGGGGCATCTCATGGGGCCCCCTACTGACCCCGGGGCCCTCGGGCAGTGCCCGAGTTTCCAAATGGTCAGTCCGCCCCTGGATCAGAGATATACCCTAACACTTAAAAAAATGTAATATCATTTGTCACTTTCCAGCTCATATAGGATAGTCTTGGTTAGAAGCTTAAAGTAGAACTATAGGTAAAACTTTGGGGTTTTTTTCATTTTGGATAGGGTAAGGCAGGATTATAACCCTTGTCAATTTATTTTTTTTGCCATCTCTCTCTACTGGGGAGATTTCCCTTTAGTTCCTGTCCAATATCCAAAACAAGACGACAAGAGAGATAATCCCTGTAAATTAGGGAATTCCTTGGGAAACCCAGGCCAGCAGATCTAGTACCCCATTGGAAAATTTCCCCTCTATAACTTTTCTGGGTACAACCCAAAATTTGGGGATTTCTTTACTTTCACTTTCAATGGCAAACAGGGCACATAGAGAGGGTCACAGACTGCAATAAAAAACAAAAAAAAATACATGTTTTAATCAATCTCCACTCCACTACATGGTGATAAAGTTGAGGTGGCCCAGTGACAAATATACACAACGTGTTTCTTGGGTTCAAAGATCCCACTTTTTCAGGTTCTGTTACACAATTAGGGAAATTTCAACAGTATCCCCTTTAAATAAAAAAAAAAAAATCAGGGGGCATCACTTGTACTGGCCTGCCAGATCATCCCAGATATGGGTCCATGCTGGATAAAGCCAGTAACCACCAACAAAGGAAAAACCTGAGGTTCAATTGAAGGCCCTCATAGTGAGGACATGACTGGTTCCCATTAGGAATTGCATGAAGCCCAATACCCATTCCTGCATTAGACAGTCTGTGACAGTCTTGGTTTAAATAAGAGAGATTATCATGCACATACAGTCCTAGTTCCGCAAACCATTCAGATTAGCATAATAATGCTTCCATACAGTATAATTGCATAAAGCTGGGCATACGCTAGTACAATTTCAAACGTTTGTACGTATGTTTGTGCAAAAATTCACATGAAAATTCTCAGTATATTCAATGACTTGATGATTGTCATTCAAAAGTGCTACAAAATCGTATTTGCTTTTAACATTCGACTGTGGAACAAATGGACTGTACCAAATGAAAACCGAAAACATTGTTAAAAATCTGTTAATTTGAGAAAAAAATAAAAGTCGCTTTGATCCCACCATCAATTAGAGAATTGAATGAAAGTTCATAAAACAAAAAAAAAATGTAACAAAAATGTTATTAGGGTATTGTCAGCCTAAAGTGGAATTCTAGTCAAATACTAACTAAGCCTAAACCTACTCCCACCCCCATTCTAGGACTATCCTATCTACCCTGTAAAAGGAAGGACCTTTATATTTACCTAAGGGCTCTCCGGTCTAGTCACATGATAGGGTCTCAGCACCAGCTTCAGTGTAGAGGAGGGACAGCCGACAATGTGTAGGCAGGTGGTAGAATGGGGTCCCCTTTAAGATGCCTCCTCCCCCTGTGAGAAAGCTGGTAGACTAGGCAGGTCCTAGAGAGGTAGGCAATTCGGTGAATGAGAAAGGAGAGGTAAGATCATCTGCTGTCCTCCTGTTCTTCCCCCATCTGCGAGAGGGCAGGATACCCTCAGTCCCCCACCCTAGCCCCTAAAAAGCGAAAGAGAAGACAGAGCCACGGAGCTGGTCTATCCCTCCATTTCCCCCATCTTGGGTTAGGAAGAACATAGGCCCATCAACTGCAGGGACAAGAGCAGCCACCAGCAGGGCCTAGGACTAAGAGTCCATTTGCTCTGAACTGTATCATTCTGTTGGCGTCACTATTGATTGAGGCTTCAGTAAAGAACATTCACCACATCCAGCCTCATGGTGCCTTTATTCAGTAAGAATGCTGCTCAGAAGAATGTGAGCGTGAGTTCTACTTGTGTCCCCTGGCTGATGGACTTGGAGAAGGTGCCCAGTGTCTGAAACTCCTGGAAGTGAAGGGGATGAAGCACACCGTCAAGAGTGTGGACCGGGGGTCGATCTCTGTCCACCACTCACACATCGGGGAGAGTCATCAGACAAAGCCATGTATTGTCCCAAAGGTCAGTGTTAGATTGGAGGTTAGCTCACCTGTTTACTTAGGCCACACCCAAGGCAGCCTGCCAAGGAATGGATGCCCCATAGCAAGCATAGCAAGGTGATATCATTGCACAGGCTCTGCAGCCATTGTCGGCAATCTCTCCTCTTCACTGAAGCTGGCTGCTGGGAAGATCATGTGACCAGAGTGGAGCACCCCCCCCCCCCGTATAGGCAAGTATAGACTTCTTTCCATTACAGGGTAGTTAGAATAGGCCTAGAATGGGGGTGGGAGTAGGTTCAGGCTCAGATAGTATTTAACTTGGCTTTCACTTTAGTTGCATTGCACTGCTGACCTGCTCTGTGATCACACACTAAAGACGTCATCCTGCATACATCTATGAACATCACAACATGTCTGGTACTGTACCAGGAATCCAGGGGCATCTCTAACAATGCCTTAATGTCCACATGCATAATCCCTAATGCAGGAAATTTAGCTTTAGCGATTTATTGATGGGTTATAATGAATTGTTCCCTCTAGTCATGGTTTACAACCCTTAATCACCGTATAACTTGATTACCAATACTCAGCTGCCTTGGATCTTGAGCAAAGTACAGATGGGTAAAAAAGCAAGAAATCTGGACAGGCAGATACAAAGTCAACCTATCCATAAAACCACAGCTACAGAAAACACCAAATGAAAAGTTATTAGAATCATAATATATCATTCCTATTAGTGGAGTCAGGTTGTGTGATACATGCCCAGAAGAAGTGTACATATCCTGATGCAATGGTTGGCCATTCATCTCAACACTACAAAGCCACAAAATGAAGCAAGCTATTGGATGTTTATACTGAAATAGTTAGATATTGCTTATATTTAAAGGCCAACTCCACTTTAATGGGAAATATTATATAGAATATACAACTGTGATAAGTCATATAATTGAATGATATTAAAAATTACATTTCCTTTTAAATCTGCAATTTTCTGTAAAATGCAATTCAATATGGCAACCTGGCAGTGTTATGTGATCAGCTGGGGTATAGAACGCCCCCAAAATGTAATTTCCTGCTTGTGTGATCGCTTACTGATTTTCTCATAAGTCTAAACCAGCGTTTTTCAACCACTGTGCCGCGGCACACTAGTGTGCCGTGAGATATTGTCTGGTGTGCCGTGGGAAAAATTCCAATTTCATCTGTAACATGTGGCTTCGGCTCACAAATAGACCAATCATTAGAATCTAATGATTCAGTGGTCGGCAAGCCGCGGCTCGCGAGCCACATGCGGCTCTTTACCCAGTCTAATGCGGCTCTTCTGTGTGCCGGGCGCCTGCTCCCCTCCCTCTCTCTCGGCCGGGCCGCTCCCCTGCCTCCTCTCGGTTGGCAGCCCCAAAAGTCCGCGCGGACCTTTTAATCCGGCTTGCGGATGTGGCTGTCAGGATGTGTGTAGGCGGGGCAGCGTGCCGAACGTGAGGGGAGGGGAGCTAGGCTCCTCTCACAGTCCGCCCTGAAGACCCGAACGGCGCGGGAAGACAGCGAGAAACGATGGAAAAAGGTAAGTGAATTGACACGGGGGACTTGGCTTACTAGAAGGGGGGGGGGGGAATAGTACTGTGGGGGATGAAATACTATATGAGGGATGAATTACTTTATGAGGGATGAAATACTATATGGGGGGATGAAATACTATATGGGGGATGAATTACTATATCAGGGATGAATTACTATATGAGGGATGAAATACTATATGGGGGGATGAAATACTATATGGGGGGATGAAATACTATATGGGGGGATGAAATACTATATGAGGGATGAATTACTATATGAGGGATGAAATACTATATGGGGGGATGAAATACTATATGGGGGGATGAAATACTATATGAGGGATGAATTACTATATGGGGGGATGAAATACTATATGAGGGATGAATTACTATATGAGGGATGAAATACTATATGAGGGATGAAATACTATATGGGGGGATGAAATACTATATGAGGGATTAATTACTATGCTTACTATGGGGGAATATTACTATACTTACTATGGATGACACATACACATCATTCATCTACTCTTGGTCCGGCCCCCGGGTCCAATTATAAAATACTTTATTATTTCATAATAAAGTAATTATAAAATAATTTCTTTGTGTTTGATTCCTATTCAAGAGAATTACTTTATATATAGTCAATATAGGCACAGAGGTAAATTTTTTTTAACATTTTCTAATGGTGGTGTGCCTCGTGATTTTTTTTCATGAAAAAAGTGTGCCTTTGCACAAAAAAGGTTGAAAAACACTGGTCTAAACAACAAAAACATGCATCTAGGTTTTAGAGGAGGAAAACTAGAAAAAAAAATATTCTGAACCAATGGACTTTAGACATAGTACAGGAAATGACCAGAGACTGCAGACATACTACAGGAGATGAACAGAGACTACGGACATAGTACAGGGGATGACCAGAGACTGCAGACATAGTACAGGAGATGACAGAGACTGCGGATATAGTACAGGTGATGACCAGAGATCGCAGACATAGTACAGGAGATGACCAGACACTGCAGACATACTACAGGAGATGACCAGAGACTGCAGACATAGTACAGGAGATGACCAGAGACTGCGGACATACTACAGGAGATGACCAGAGACTGCAGACATAGTACAGGAGATGACCAGAGACTGCGGACATACTACAGGAGATGACCAGAGACTGCAGACATAGTACAGGAGATGACCAGAGACTGCGGACATACTACAAGAGATGACCAGAGACTGCAGACACAGTACAGGAGATGACCAGAGACTAAGGACACAGTACAGGAGATGATCAGAGACTACGAACACAGTACAGGAGATGATCAGAGACTAAGGACACAGTACAGGAGATGATCAGAGACTGCGGACACAGTACAGGAGATGACCAGAGACTGCAGACAGTACAGGAGATGACCAGAGACTGCGGAAATAGTACAGGTGATGACCAGAGATTGCGGACATACTACAGCAGATGACCAGAGACTGCGGACATACTACAGCAGATGACCAGAGACTGTGAATATAGTACAGGAGATGACCAGAGACTGCGGACATACTACAGGAGATGACCAGAGACTGTAGACATAGTACAGGAGATGACCAGAGAGACTACAAACACAGTACAGGAGATGATCAGAGACTGCGGACACAGTACAGGAGATGACCAGAGACTGCAGACAGTACAGTGAGATGACCAGAGACTGCGGAAATAGTACAGGTGATGACCAGAGACTGTGGACATACTATAGGAGATGACCTGAGACTGCGGACATACTACAGGAGATGACCAGAGACTGCAGACATAGTACAGGAGATGACCAGAGACTGCGGACATACTACAGGAGATGACCAGAGACTGTAGACATAGTACAGGAGATGACCAGAGACTACAAACACAGTACAGGAGATGATCAGAGACTGCGGACACAGTACAGGAGATGACCAGAGACTGCAGACAGTACAGGAGATGACCAGAGACTGCGGAAATAGTACAGGTGATGACCAGAGACTGTGGACATACTATAGGAGATGACCTGAGACTGCGGACATACTACAGGAGATGACCAGAGACTGCAGACATAGTACAGGAGATGACCTGAGACTGCGGACACAGTACAGGAGATGACCAGAGACTGCAGACACAGTACAGGAGATGACCAGAGACTGCAGACATAGTACAGGAGATGACCAGAGACTGCAGACATACTACAGGAGATGACCAGAGACTGCAGACATAGTACAGGAGATGACCAGAGACTGCGGACACAGTACAGGAGATGACCAGAGACTGCGGACACAGTACAGGAGATGACCAGAGACTGCAGACACAGCACAGGGGATGACCAGAGACTGCAGACATAGTACAGGAGATGACCAGAGACTGCGGACACAGTACAGGAGATGACCAGAGACTGCGAACATAATACAGGAGATGACAGAGACTGCGGACATAGTACAGGAGATGACCAGAGACTGCGGACATACTACAGGAGATGACCAGAGACTGCAGACATAGTACAGGAGATGACCAGAGACTGCGGACACAGTACAGGAGATTACCAGAGACTGCAGACATACTACAGGAGATGACCAGAGACTGCAGAAATACTACAGGAGATGACCAGAGACTGCGGACATAGTACAGGAGATGACCAGAGACTGCGGACAGTACAGGAGATGACCAGGGACTGAGACATAGTACAGGAGATGACCAGAGACTGAGGGCATAGTACAGGAGATGACCAGAGACTGAGGGCATACTAAAAGAGCTATATCCTAATAATTAAACAGGGGCTGAATAGCAGCCCAGGTGTAATAGTCAGAGAGGTCAAATTTCGGTCAGGAGTTGGAAGGCTCTGCAGACTCAGCCCTCTGAGACTTCCCCCTGCCTAGAACTTTGAAGAAGGTATTAGAAGCAGTGGGTGAATGTAAGGAGTGGCTGATCTGCATATTCAAGGGACCAATCCCCAACAGGCAGCTTTGCAAGGGATCAGAATAGCCCTTAACCTCTTCACGCCGGCCCGAACGCAAATATGCGGTCTCCCGGCATCTGAGCTTAGACGCCAAGCAGCTGCACATTTGCGTTCTATTAAAAAAGAACATATGTGCTGAGAGCGCGCGCCCTGTGCGCTCACAGCGCACATGTCCGGTACTCACGGAAAGGTCCCGATCTCCTCTTTCAGTTGGGGACCTTTCCCGATCATGTGACCGCCGTGACAGTGTGTCATGGCAGTCACATGACCCTAAACCCCGCCCCGCCTCCCAGCTTCTGAAAACCTTAAAGGGCTGGGAGGCGCCGGCATGAAGGGGTTAAATATGAGTGAGTCTGCCCAGTGAGAGAGGAGTCGGGTGGATTGAGAGAGGAAGATGTGAGGCTGTGGAGGAAGGAGGCTGTGAGGAGGCCCAGTGGGATGGGGCCTACCTGCAGGCCTGGAGCTGGACAGGGGGAAAGCTTGGAACTCACTGGCCCCCTAAGAGAGGACCACTTGAATGGCAGGGAAGGAGCAGCCCAGCCACCAGCCCACAAGCGGTACAGGAGAGGATCTGAATGAGTACACCTCCTGAGCAGATAGGGGAAGGAGCACTCTGGTGAGAAACCAGATAAGCCCTCTGCTAGTGACTGTGCACTTCTTTAAAGGGACAGGAGCCAGATCCCCTGCTCAGGGATAATTCCAGATTGCTGGGTGTGAAGAGTTCATCTAGGATCTGGGGTGGCACATTAAGGAAACGCAGGCTAGCTCTCCAACAGAAACTGTGCTGCAGAGAAGGCTTGTAAATAGTTTCAGGAAGCTATCCTCAGTTTGTCAGTACCCTTGGGCATCCTGCACACCCCTAACCCTATCCCATTTCAAATCGCTCAATAAAACTACAAAACCAAAGCTTAAGGATTGATTTTAGTCCCTGGATGCAAGTTTCTGTGGAAACGTGTGGCAGTGTTCTAGCAGGACAGGAGCCGGGGTAGGGACTTGTGCTTTTGGTGCTATTACTAGGCAGCTGCAAAGCCCCTCTAACAAACTGATAATGAGATCTGCCAGCACAGTACAGACAGGATTAAACTATGGTAAAAACAGTTGCTGAGCCCCCTCAAAAGCAAATAGAGCTGCCTAGGATTTTTCTTTACTGGAGGGTCCAGAATAGAGCATCTTAAAAAGGTACACTGCAATTTTTTAAAACTTTTTTTTAAGTTATGCTCTGTGAATGGGGACATGTAAGCAAATATAATAAATATAAATCAGCACACATATATATATAAAATCCTCAAGAATCCCTTAAAGTCATATCAATATCCTTCCCCTGAAGTACTAATAAAATATATATTCATTGACTTAAACCCAAAAACCCACAATTATAGTGAAAAGATCAAAACCCAAAGAGATTGCCCAAAAAATAAAAAATATCAAATATATATAAAAGAACAAAAATAAATAAAGTCCCAATATGCAAAGTGTCCAAATAATGTGTCCAAACAAAGATCAATTTCTTGATAGGAAGACGCTTCCTACTCCACTGAAGAAGATGCAAATCAATCACAGGTGCTCTTCAAATACCTCAAAAAAAAAATCTCAACATAGTATATTACCTTTTAAATCCCAGAACTAAAGTGCCACACGTGTATCATGCCAAAAAAACACTCCAGTGTCACAGCACTCATGTGAGAGAAAAAAAAAAAAAAAAAAAAATTTAATTTTAAATATCACTGCAAACTATATATAAAGTGCATAATTACCCTAAAACAAACAAATTCCAGTTTGTAATCAACCACATATGTACAGAGTGTCCTTAGATTGGTATCCTCTTGTTCCTCAGGACCTCACAAACAGACCAGGAATCAGTATGTGAATTATAATCATATATAAAATTTATTGTAGCCACTTACATATAAAAACGATAAGATCAGCAAGACAGCATCCAACTCCTCATGCCCAGTATGCGATCCCCTTTCCGTGTGTAGAGGGTCTCCCGATCACCAGGTAATTCCCCCTTGCTACTCCTATCCAGCACTATCACTTTGTAGCTCTGGGGGACACCTGAAGTGCACCGTTACTCTCCAGACCTCCAACACACAGGGATTCCAGAATCCAAAATGGCTGCCGCAGCACTTCCGGGAACGTCACGTGCCCTGGACGCGTTTCGTCTCTTCTGGACTTTGTCAACAAGGATCCTTGTTGACAAAGTCCAGAAGAGACGAAACGCGTCCAGGGCACGTGACGTTCCCGGAAGTGCTGCGGCAGCCATTTTTTTCAGTTAATACAAAGCATTCTCTTCACCTTCTCTATTCAGAGAAACTCTTGTATTCACTCAAAAAAGGCATTCTGTGAATGGCAGCAATGCCAAGCAAGTGGCCACCTGCGGTCAGTGTGCAAAAGGGAAGCCATTTGCTACAGGACCCATTAGATCAGTGGTTCTCAACCTTCCTAATGCCGTGACCCTTTAATACAGTTCCTCATGTTGTGGTGACCCCCAACCATAAAATTATTTACCCAGTAATTATAATTCATGAGTGTCGTTTTACCTCCAATACTGCTGCTTTCAACAAGCTGCTTTTAACAGAGTAGCTGCTTTCTACACAGTAGCTGCTCTTTACACATCAGAAAATATGTGTTTTCTGATGGTCTTAGGGGACCCCTGTGAAAAGGTCGTTCGACCCCCAAAGGGGTCGCGACCCACAGGTTGAGAACCACTGCATTAGATTGTGGTTCTGTACACAAAGCTGCATCATTAATTCACAGAGAGTCTGATGAAGCTCTCTTGTAGTCTTTTCACTTTTTCTCCAGCTTTGTAATTGAAAGCCCATGCAAATGTATGAACAAAAAGCTAGAGGGAGAGTCTGCAGGAGCCTGACATTCCACCCGCGATCCACTGATCCAATGCTCTGCAGGCTCTTGAGAAAGAAAATAATAAATACACATTTTTTTACCCGCAAGGTGAATGTAACCTTTAAATTTATCTTGCAAGGATTTTATTCTATAAATTATATAGAATATATTATATATATTTGATATTTTTTATTTTTTGGGTAATCTCTTTGGGTTTTGATCTTTTCACTATAATTGTGGGTTTTTGGGTTTAAGTCAATGAATATGTAAGCAAATATAAGTACAGTGAAGGAAATAAGTATTTGATCCCCTGCTGATTTTGAATGTTTGCCCACTCACAAAGAAATGATCAGTCTAAAAATCAAATGGTAGGTGTATTGAAACACTGAGAGAGAATAACAACAAAAAATTCAAAAGAAATGCATGTCTAACAAATGATGCACTGATTTACATGTTCATGAGGAAAATAAGTATTTGATCCCCTTCACAAAACATGACTTAGTACTTGGTGGCAAATCTCTTGTTGGCAATCACAGAGGTCAGACGTTTCCTGTAGTTGGCCACCAGGTTTGCACACATCTCAGGAGGGATTTTGGCCCACTCCTCTTGGCAAATCCTCTCTAAGTCATTAAGGTTTGGTGGCTGACGTTTGGCAACTCGAACTTTCAGCTCCCTCCACAGATTTTCAATCAGATTAAGGTCTGGAGACTGGCTAGGCTACTCCAGGACCTTAATGTGCTTCTTCCTGAGCCACTCCTTTGTTGCCTTGGCTGTGTGTTTTGGGTCATTGTCATGCTGGAACACCCATCCACGACCCATTTTCAATGCCCTGGCTGAGGAAAAAAGGTTCTCACCCAAGATTTGATGGTACATTGCCCCATTATTCCACTTTGGCTGCAAAACTAGAGATACACTTTAACTATTCATTTCTAGTCGCAACTGACAAAGGGTTAATAAATCCCGGAACAGAATTGCTTTATTAAAAAGAAAAAAAAATATCCAAGGGAATCCATAGCACTTCTAGTTTAGCACACTGCTCGAATGTAGTTGAGCGGCAAGCTCTGGGGATAGAATCTTCCAGAGAATCACGTGCTATAAATACTTAAAACTTAAATTGATCCTGACAACTTAAGCTAAATCAAGCATGACTTCTCCCGAGCTCTCAGGATATCATAATTGAGCTCACTTCGGTAATACTTTGCCATCCATCAACTTTCTTTGCCTTGGAGCCATTTGAAATGGAGCGGTTTAGCGGTAGCAGACACCCAGATGAAAATCATAGAAAGGACTTTATTGTAGACATGGCCTAAGGTGCATATGCTACCCAATTAAATTAAACTATTGCGGGGCAATAGGGCACACACCTCCTAAAGTTGTCAGATTGGTCAGGCAGCCTATGCAGTAAATTCCATACATTCCTGCTACTACCATGTATTTTTTAGAACTAGGTAAACGTCTGGAATAAAATAAGGGAAGAAGAACTAACTAG